TATAGCTTATCTTTAAGAAACTATACTTGTTTGATGTCAAGATGTTATTGTTGCAAAGTTAGAGAGAAAAACTGAAAAGGAAGTTAAGCTCAATTATCGATTTTAAATGAACACGTTCAAGAAGGGAAGTACAGTCGACTGTCTCTTAACATACACCTTATAAAGTAGACAGCTAGGGTTCTTGTTCTGTTTGTTTTGATTTAACCGAAGAAAGTTCGTGTTGCGAAAAGTAAAATATTGAAACTCCTTCACCAAACAAAATGTACTCAAATATATGTAACTGGCAAATTGAAAGTGGCCGTAATGTTAATTTTAATTGATACAACAAAAAAAGGCCGGAAAGTGCAATAGTTTTCTTTTTTTGCTACTTAGATCTCTGCTATTTACATTATTTGAAACGAGAATCGAGCACTGAAATCATAAATCACTTGGGTCTTTTTTTTCAGGCACCCGTCAAATATGCTATTAGATCTACCTAAGTGTAACAATAAAGGGCATGGGCTGATTCTTTTTGTCTTTTATTATTATTATTATTATTATTATTATCATTTTGCCGCTTTCTGCGAGATTGTCAATAAAATCACGGTTTTCTGAGACAAGCCACCCAAGTACCAATGCTTGGTACTATACTCTTTAGTTATTACTAAAAAGGCCTGCACTCTTTGGAGACTGAGATGTTTAGCTGGTTTGTCCTCTCCACCAAGAAGCTAGAAATTTAAGAGAACGTTAATAGTGTTTTAAAAGAAAAGTCAAAGATATGAAACAAACTTGACGTTTCGATGGCTTCATGTCTTCATTATCAAAAGCTAAGAAAGTAACATGATTGGTGGGCATATTAAATATAGACAAAAAAAGTGCGTAAAAGGGCAGGTAAACAGTAAATAGTGTTAAAAGGGAAACAGTAAGATGTGATAACAGAGATGTCTAGGGTGACTAATGACTGGGAAGACTGAGATGACTGGGATGATTAGGGCGAACTATAGCCTAGCAATATGCCACGCATGCTCATTAAAGATTTTACTCGATTCATGCACAGTCTTTCTCCAGTTCACCAAAATCAAGCAAACAAAAGAAAGGAAGACTCTACTTATAGGGTGGGGGTAAAGGTATTCGCTGGCTTGTGTTCTTTGTTTTTTTTTTTTTTTCTTTTTTTTTTGTTTTTCTTTTTTGCTCCTTTCTTGGTTGTTTTTTTTTTTTGACGTGTGTTTTGACTTTGTCTCTTTCCCTTTGGGGGTTTTTCTTTTTTTGGGTGGGGCGGGGTTGTTTTTTTAAAAATCTTTTTCCCGGGGTGGCGGGGGAAATGGGGTGTTTTTTTTTTTTTTTTTTTTTTTTCCGAGGATGACATAGTTGACAAAAGAAACTGGGAACGAGTTTTTTCAACAAATAGTTTTGACGTTACGTTTGACGCAGTGCCGTCATGGTTTGAAGGACTAAAAATCGTCGCAGAAGCTGTAAGGCGTTGTTTATTCATTGTTCGTCGCACATGCACACTTATGCCTCCTACACCCACACTTTATTTCTATTCTAGGTTTTTTTGATTCTCTATTTCTGAACGCTTTTTTAAACAACACATTACCCAAATGGCACCCTGGGAAGATGTGGCGGTTAGTGAAGCAGTAGTTTCCGGGAGGTTTAAAACAACGGGAAATTTTCAACCTGTAAATCAGTCCCGAAAAGTGGTTAATCGCTTAGTAGAGGTTCCACCTATATAGCCTGCAGTGCAAGCGTTTTCCAGGGGGGTGAGATACCCGAACACTAGAATACGCAGGAGTTGTGGTGTGTACGAGACACCTCGCCTCTTACCCACACTGCTGACTGAGCTATTGATCGATCGCGCCAACGAGGGCAATTTCTGCTCTCCCCAGTCTGCTCCATCTGCTTTCAAAATCAAACTGGCTGCCATAAACATCTTATATGACAAGTTTGGAGAAGTAGTTTAAAGATCAACACCGTGACAATTGGTCTTAGGAGTTCATTGACTTGAATTCTCATTATTTCTTCCCCTTATACTGTCCTTAACTATGAGGAAAAAATTTGATACTTGTCACATCTTGGGCTTAATGGGATAGAGTTTTCAAAGGGAGACGAGACTAAAGCTCACTTGATTTCTTCTCCAGGATTTGAAGTTTTGTCTTTCTGATTGCGACTTAATTCTTTCGACCCGAATCCCATACATCAACCCTCAACCGAGTGAAACATCCTTTATTGGCCATACGAACTACACTCGAACACGTTTGAGGGACCTTAAACAAACCGACTCATGTCAATGATACAGACAACCAAGCCAACAATGGTTTGTCCAAGTTTGTGATGTTATTTCTTTCCTGACGATAATAAATTTGCTTGATAACCGAAGTTCGAGTTTCTTTTCTCTTTTCTTTTTAATACAATGCCTCGACTTCACTTTTGTCACAGCTAACTTAAACTGTGACCGCGGGCTCTCTGTAAGATCAGTAAGTCAGAGAGTAACTTCGTAGTGAGATTTTTGGACGGGTGACTCGATTTTTTCCTTCCCTATGCTTGGTACGCGTGATGTACGTTAGGTGCGCATTTGAGCAAGGTATATCAGCGTATTTTATTGCTCACACTCTCCTTTAGCCACACTTGTTCGAGAACCAAGAACCGTTCGCACCAGAATTTCTGCTTCTTTACCAGTAAGGACAGTTTGCGTTCAGACATCCCCTACGTCACCAGAATTTCTGCTTCTTTACCAGTAAGGACAGTTTGCGTTTAGACATCCCCTACGTCAACTGCTTTCACGTGAAGCGAATCAGAGTAAATAAATATGAGGAGATTCTGTAGGGGGGGGGGGGGGGCAAAAAAAGCTAACAAAAGGTTTTGTTGGGGGGGGGTGGGTTTTTTTTCCTCCCCACGGGCGTTTTTATTTGGATTCGTGGGGACCTTGGAAAAAAACCTCTATAAATTTTTGGCCCCAAAGGGTAACCAACGCCCCGTAACACCCACAATTTTTGCCCCCCTCTAGGTGTTGTGGAAGTTTTTCTCGTGGAAGACCGAATTT